ACCTGACTGTTGCGTCGAGACGGTCCTGAATCGTGCCAGAGCGCCATTCCTGGGACTTCAACACCGCGAACCAACGTAATTGTTGTACTCTCATAGTCTTGAATATGTCCAAAGCGTTACTTCTGGTACGCTGATCATGGGAAGCCGTGAAAACCTTGCAAATTCAGATAACGAGTGTGCGGGGCGCTAGGGTGAGAGCCACATTCTGAAGAGGAAGCTCTCTCAATCCGTGAAACTCTTTGCAAATGTTTGAACGAATGTGTGCGGCGCTAAAGGCGAGAGCCACATTTTGAAAACGGGCCGCCTTCAATCCGTGAACTGTTTGCCAACTTGTGAGCTTCAGGGTTAACATGGTGCGGAAGTCTCAGGCGAAACGCCCGGTGCGACGGGGAGACGTTATTTATCAGGAGAGGAAACGGAGGAGGAGGTGGGAGGAGGAGGGGGAAGAGGAGGAGGAGGAGGAGGTGAGAGAGCAGGAGGGGGAGGTGGAGGAGGAGGAGGATGTGGAGGAGGAGGAGGAGGAAGACGAGGAGGATGAGGAGGAGGAGGAGGTGGTGGAGGAGAAGAAGGAGGAGTGGAGGAGGACGACGAGCCCCTCTGAGCCGCCGAGGACGCGGGAACCGCCTCGTTCCGGCGCGCGGCCTGGGTCGAGCGGCTCGGCGGCGGCGGTGGGGCCTCGGGCTCCAGCGCGCCGCTGGCGGACCAAGGCCGCGCGCTGCGGCCCTTCGGCTGCGCTGCATCTGCGGGGGGGCCTCGGCTGCCCCCCCCCCTCCTGCTCCTCCTTCTCCTCCTCTCCTCCTCAACCCCCTCCTCCTCCTTCTCCTCCTGTCTCCTTCTCCTCCTCCTCCTTTCCTCCCTCCTCCCTCTCCTCCAAGGTTTGAGCCAGTGTGCCCGCAGCATGGCGGGCAACTGTCGGGGGCGGCAGAGAGGGGGGTGATGACCAGGGGGGGGGGGATCTCATGGCGTGGGCCATGATGTTTCCTCAGATGTCATAGCGCGTACGCTGATTTCACCAAGTTCCTGGCCCCCCCCCCTTGGGCCGCGCACGTGCCGCCGGCCATGATTTCTGCACCCCTCCCCCTCTTGGACGCCCCCCTCTTGGCCGCCCCCCTCTTGGCCGCCCCCCTCTTGGACGCCCCCCTCTTGGACGCCCCCCTCTCGGCCGCCCCCAGAACTGGTGTCTCCATCGTGCCCGACGCAGGCTCGATGCGCACGCGGCGCGGGTTTGGCGTGGACTCGGCCCGGATGCGACGTGGGCGGGGCGCGGCGGATTCGGCGAGTCCGACACGCACTCGACGCGGATGGGGGCGAGACGGGGCAGACAACGCCCCCCGAAGATGCAACACGACCTCGGCGCCGCCGTGAGGGGAAGGCTTTTTCAGATGTCTGGCGCATCGAAATTTCAGAGGAGGGATAGGCACCGATACCGCCACCCCTTATATCGTTTTCGTCGTTTGCCCCCTCCCCCCCCTCTGGGAGGCCTGCGTCGCCACGGCTGGAGCCGCTTCGAAATTGTGGTCAGAAGGCATCCCGGGAGAAGTCCGAAGAGTAGCGATATCGGCATCTGCGCTTTTCCTAAGCTTTGGTCAGAGTTGAAATTGGGACGAAGACGGGCAGCCGTTCCTGCCCATTTTGAGCAGGACTCGCCATGGAGGGCAGGCCGCCCAAACGGTGTCGAAGTGAACCCAGATCTTCGACGAACTGATTTTTTCCAAGCCCGGCGTTTTTATTCGATCCTTGCCTCCTGGGGCCGTTGACACTGTCGAGGCCTCTTTGTCCACAGCCTCCGCCCCTCGACTTGGCCGTGAAGGCCAGCCGCCGAAATTCTTGGATGCTCGAACGACCAGAACAATTCGAGAAGAGAAAATCAGCATCACCATAAAGTTTGATGTGTCCGCGCGGATTTCTTGGATCGGCGCTGGACCTCCTGGCGACGCCTCTGGCCGCTCTTCAGACCCGATCTGGGCATCGGCGGGGTCGTTGCGCGCCAGGGGGGCTCAGCACCATCCAAGGAATCCGCACATGCCTCCGAAAGTTGCGCTCTTCCATGGGGAGGGAGCGGAATGCCACCGAGTGGCGTCTTCCACATCGCGAGCGGTTCCGGTCGCGAGAAGGTTCCTGTCGCGTGGCGTCGATGCGAGAAGGTTCCGGTCGCTTTCCGCGCGGGCCAGGGCGGTCAGCTTCAGGCCGCGCGCGCGCACCGCAGGTGAGGACAGCGCAGCCCACCCCCCCGGCCAGGGGCCCCACTGCCGACCTGGCGACCCAGGGGGCCCTGGCCCGGGGTGGGGATGGCTTCTCTGAGTTGTGGGTTCAAAAACCTCTCTGTCTCTCTCTCTCTCTCTCCGCAGCCTGCAGGGGTAGGCCGGACCCCTGAGTCCCAGCTGCATCCTTCTTGTTTCACTTTCTGGTTCCGGATTGGGGTAGTTTGATCGCCACTTCCCGCCGCGCAGGTTGGGACGCTCGGAGAAAAGTTGTGGGTTCAAAAACTTGGCATCGCTCGGACGTGTGCACTTTTCCTTCGGCGAGGACCCTCGAGGAGCATCCTTGATCAGTTGGCGAAAAAGCCACGCACGAAACCGCAAAAAAACGCGGGGAACGGACGTCCGAGCGATGCCCAGAAAAACAACCCCAACCCCAGCCAGGACCCCCTGGATCACCGGGTCGGGAGTGGGGGTCCTGGCCGGGGGTGGGGGCGGGTTGCGCTGTCCCTAGGAGGGCCAGGCGCTGCGGGGGTGGGGGGGTCCCAGACGGTCGATCCCCAGAGGTGTGGACTCATTCCTTGGGACCGGCATTTCATCCCTAGCTGCTTGTTGATGGCCCCGAGGCCCAGGAATGGCCCCCTGGGGCAGAACATCGCGAAACAATTCCCGTCGTGATTTTTTGGCCACGCGCAGACGGGGTAGGGGGAGCGGGGAAGGCTTCTTAGACACACCCCTGCTTCTTAGAGGGCGCGGGCCTTCTCACAAGATGCAGGGCCGGCGCCTTCTAAGGAGCAGGGGTGGCTCTAAGGAGCCTTCCCCCCTCCCCCATACCCCCTCTGCGCGCAGGCAAGTGTTTCACGACCCGAGGGGGCCTGGGTTCAGCGCAGCTCGCAAAGCGACGGGCCGAGGGCCTTCCGCCCTCGACGCCGTCGCGCCCGCTCGCTGGCGTCGTGCAGGGCCTTCGCGGTCCCTTCGCGGGCGGCCCGGGCCATCGCCATCGGACCGCCGCGCGCTCGGCGCGCCTGGCCAGACCCCCTCGGGTCATGATAGCGTCAAGACGCGAGGAGGCTCGCTATCTTCGACCTCGGGGGCCCCCGCAGGGCCTCGGGACCGTCAGAAAGACTCAGGGCGAAGAGTTGGCCCGGGCCATGCCCGGCCAGACCCGCTCGGGTCAGGAAAGAATCGAGACGGGAGGAGGTTCCCTATTGTCGGCCTCGGGGGGCCCCCACCGGGCCTCGGGACCGCCAGAAAGACGACTCAGGACGAAAAGTTGGTCCCAGGGAAGGGGTCCAGACCTCCGGGGGTCGACGTCGTGAAGAAACCATGACGTCGGGGGTTGGGAGCGCGCCTCGGCGTTTGCTCGCCGGCAGCAGGCGGCCACCCCACTCGAAGGGGGCCGGGCCGCCGGAGGGCAGGCGGCCCTAGCGCACCGCCTAAGCTCGGGGTACAAGAACGTAACATAAGCACAGACACAATCTTTCAGAGGTCCGCGCGGACCTCTCAGGAGTGGAAGAAGAAGAAGAACACACACACAGACACAATTGATCGTCGTCCACCAGGAAAAGAGGGGAAACAGATGGGCAGTGGGGGAAGACGAAAAACCCGGAAAAAAAATTGGAATCCTGGGAGCTGTGTCTATTTCTCTGTGTGTCCCTCAGCCCCTTTCTTCTCTTCCATCCGCGCTGGAGCCCCCATGGTGGCGCCTCCGGAGCCGCCCCCTGGTGGCGCTCCGCGGAAGGGGGCAGCGCCGATCCAAGACATCCGCGGGCACCTCTGAGGTTGCTCCTATGCAAGCCCTGCGGTCGGGCGCGAGGGCCATCTGGAGGTTGGAGGCTTCGGCAGTGGCGAGCAGTATGCTCCGGAGGGCCACGGCTCTGCGGCAGGAGCGCGACACAGCATATATGTATACACACATATAGATAGACGTACTTGTCTACATCTGTATATACACATAAATTTATACTCATATATACATATATATAGTATATATAGTATATATATATATATATATAGATCCTCCTCTGCCTGCCAGCAGGTGACCTTCGGCGATCTGTTGTCCCCCGAGGGCCATGATGGGCCCACACAAGGTCCAGGCCGCTTTGGTTAGTTCAGAGAACGACGACGGGTGCGCCTCCATACCTATGATAGTGGGGAGTGCCATTGTATTTGTCCGCGTAATATTTATGAGGAAGGAGGACAACCAGGCGGGGCCGCGGCGATTCAACACATGCACGCAAGCATCACGTAAGGACATCGACCGACCGTACGCGTCGGCATTTCACCTGTATGATGTCCGTTTGGTGTTGCTAGCTTGGCCCATTGGCATGGACTGCGCGAGTCTGAGATAACACGATCACGCGTGATTGTATGCCGACGTGGCGCGAATTGTTGGGGCATCCTCTTGCGCCATCAGAGGGAAAGGGCCAGCTGCAGTGGATGTGGTACATAGGTGCTAGACTTTCGGCGCTCGCGCGGTGCATCTTGCACCTTGGTCATGAGATGCGGACCTTAGTGTCAAGACGACGACCACACGGGGCCCCGTTTGCAGACGACACATGGACGCTTCAACCATACATTCTATTGTTCACTTCCATAGTTTCCAGTATTCAGTGGTACGAAACCCCAAGGGTGCCTTAATACATCGAGAGCTGCGCGGCGTTCCAGGGGACAGAAAATGAGGCTACGGAGGTGGCGGACGGAGGGGTACGGCCACCTGTTCAACACCATGGAGCGCTTCCATTGCGAAGCCTGCAAGATGACTGAGGAGGATTGTGGGCATACACGGGCGGAGGGGGCGAGTACAAGTTCGTGGAGGTCGAGCAGAGGGAGTCGGGCCAGATGAGGATCCACTCCAGCACTGGCAGGACCAACTGGTGGGGAAGGCCGCACGCGGCCTTGGCAGAGTACGCGAAGCTGGCGGGGAAGGGCAAAGGTAAAGCTGAGAAAGCCCAGATCCGCCGAGGGTGTAGGAGACTGGCGCTCGATGGGGTCCCCACAGCGGGCAGGAAAGCACCCGACACGGCCAAGCTGCACAGGAAGATCTGGGGCCAGCGTATCAGGAAGATCGAAAAGGTGGGTTTTGACGTGCTCGACGGCATGGTGCTCCAGGCCGCCAAGGAGGTGACATTTTCCCTACGAGACGACTTACGGCGAGGTTTCCAGGAGTACGCGCTATGGTTGACGAGCGCGGAAAGATCGACACCGGAAGTGCTGTACAGGATCACCAAATTGTGGAGGAGGCGCCATCACGAGTATATCAGGAGCGGGGTGAAGGTCTCGAGCCAGATGGAGAGCGCGGGCCTGAAGGCCATGCACTTCGAGGCCATGTGGAAGGACAGCACCAGCCACTTGGACGCTGTCGAGGTGTTGAACGACCTCAGGGAAACCGCGAAGGAGGTGCCCAAGCCGCGCTAGACGCTCGAGGCCTTCGACGCGGCGGCGCAGGGAACGCCCAACAAGGGAGAGGGCACGGACCATATGAACGTTGACGACATCTGTTGGCAGAGAGGCATTCGTGAGGATCTACAACAGCTGCGAGGAGAAGATTGCGCGGCCATGGCAGGTGCTGCAGGCCCTGATCATGCGACCACCGAAGGACGGCGAGAAGCAGGACAGCGCCGCCTTGACGGGCGGAGGAGACCGCGCGCTGGCACTGCTGGTTCGCCAGGACCTGGGAGCTGTTCGACTCGAGCAGGTCAGGCGCTGGGCGAGGGGCGTGGAGGGGGACTCCGACGCGTTGCACGCAGGGAACTCCTGCCCGCGGGAGGCCGCGGCGAGGGCGCTGGGCGACGAGACCTCGCAGGAGCTGGGCGCGCACTCGGCGGGCGCGCTGGCGGGCGCCAAGAGGTTCCATGACTCGCCAGCGTTTGCCACGGTGGCCAGGCGCGCGGCTGAGCGCGGCCTTCCAAGGGCCCCAGCCACGGCGATGCTTCTCCACCTCGCCCCGAGGATGCTGAAGGAGATGGATTCGCGCAGCTTGCCGCTGCGCGCTAAGGGGGGGCTTGCGCGTTCCAGGAACAGCAACCGCCCGGCCAGGGCGTCGGCGCGCCGCGCGGTCAGGCAGCTGTGCAGGGAGGTGCGGGAAGCTGCAGCCCAGGGCGTGGTTCGACGACATCGGGCCGCGGGCAGCAGGCAGCTTCAAGACGGTGAAGGAGGGCATCGTGGAGGCGGCGAAGACCCTGAAGGAGGCGCGGGAGATGGAAGGACTCACAGCGACAAGCAAGTCAGTCATCTTATCGGCGGACTTCAGCACGACGAAGCAGGCGGCGAAAGAGCTCAGCGATGCAAGTGTCATACTGAAGGCGGCGGCAGCACGGCGCGACCAAGGGCTGGACAGAGGAGGCACAAGTTGTACGAGACGGACCGCGCACGCGGCGAGAAGGAAGCGCAGCTTCAGATGGTTCACAGCAGTGGCGAAAAAACTGAGGAAGGCGCGGACAAGGCAGCACGTGCTGGAGCAGGGGCCCACGGCGTCGTCGGGGGCCCGAATGGAGCTGACGGAGATCAGGGGAGGTATGCACGAGGGTTTCGGAAGGCGTGGCCAGGGCGCTGCCTCGCAGCGCTGCTCGTGGAGGGGTCGGGCCCAAGTGTGAGCAGACCTCGAGCACATATCCGAGCACGGTTCGGCTTCTGGGCAGCTCGGGCAGCCCTTCGAGCTGGCGCAGTGAGAGCGCGACCAAAGATACGTGAACGTCCCAAGGCAGCCAGACCAGCTATCAGGTGGACTCGAGGGTGAGGCATCATCGGCTCGGCGTTATTGCAGCTATGGGAGATCGGCTGGGACGCGCCGCAGCCCGGCTACTGGGTCGACGCTGATGGCGGGGGGCTGGCAGTTGAAGCCAGGGGGGCCGATGGCGACCCGACCAACCTTCTGGGCGCTATAGTGGACGACACCAAGAAGAAGATATGGAGCAGCGTTGTCAGACACCGCAACCGCTCGGGGCTCGGGAATGGCGCGGGCACGAGCGACCTGAAGTGCGCCATCTGCGCAATGTCAGGTGGTACGGGCGCCGCCAGAAGTTCGGGGCGTTGACGTTTCACCGCGCGCGCTGGAGTCTGGTCGCCCCAGCGGCGGCGCGACGTGCTTGGGGGCGCTGCGCCCCAGTTGTGCCAATGCGGGCAGGTGGCGGGCGATTTTCGCTTCATCTGGGGCAAATGCTAGTGCGTGGGGGGGGGGGGGGGGGGGGGGGCCTTCCAATCTACGCCAAGACGGGCCGCCTGATCGACGGGGCCGCTGCTGGGATGGAGGGCGCTGCTTGTTTCTGGCTACGGGGGTCGCGCCACTCCGCTGGACATGCCCACCACCGAGCGAGACCGAGGTCCGTGCAGTGCGATCCGGTAGATCGCAGGTCGCCAGCGCGGGCGGGGGGGTCGAGGCTCCTGCAGGCGACCGCCTCACTACCGGGGGAGACGGCAGTGGTGGAGGTCACTCTGCGGACGCTCGATATTGAAGGCTTGGATGGGCATGGGCGCCGATGGAGTGGGCTGACGGGCAGAGGAGATGCACTGGCGAGCGCGCGGGGCCATTACAAGGCCCAAGACAGAGTGACAACAGAGCTGGGACCACGGCTGTCCTGGACGCGCTAGACGCGATGACGGGCGATCTGGAGTCCTGGACAGACTTGGAGATGCCCTCCAAAGGTTGGAAATCGAGCATACTTTGTGGTCAGGGGCCATCGCCATTGACATTGGGTCCTGCTTGGAAAAGTGAATTTGGAGACCTTTGGGGGCGTCTTGTAGCCCTCTTGGACCGTCTCGGGGCCGTCTTGGGCATATGGCAAAGCTCTTCGGCCGACTCGGAGGCTTCTCGAGCCTTCCTGGGGCCTTCTCGGGGCCCTCTGCGTTTGTTTTTTGGCCCTGTTGAGCGGGGCCACCACCCCAGCGGCCCATGCGACACACCCAAGCAATGCCTGGGAGGGCCCGCATGTGAAACAGGGTGTCCGGGCCTTGAAAGAATGTTGGAACCGTGGAGCGTCTCAGGGTTGCAGGAGCCTTGGGGCACCCCACTACGTGCTGAAGGCTTGGGGGCGGATTCGATGCTGCATTTTTCGCTTGATTGTCGCCATCTTCCGCTGCGCCCCCCCCCCGCCTCTCTGGGTTGCTTGTCCTTGTGAGTGCAAGCCGTGCCCGTCCGCAACAATTTTACACATGCTCCATGGAGATCAAGGCTCCTCCAAGCGAGCACGTTAGGGTCTGAGACGGCAGAGGTATGTCGGTCATCTTACCGCCGAGAAGTATCGCAGGAAAGCTTGTATGCAAAATTGCGCACTATGTCACTGTAAAGGCCTTGCGGCCAGTTCCGACAGCCTTGGCGCAAGAGTCGGAAAGTGGGCGGGGGCAGGGCGCGGTGGCAGCTTCAACGCCAAGGCGAAAGTAGTCATTGGTCCATCCCGCCGCGTTGCCTGGGCTTTTTTTTCAGAGGTTTTGGGGGTAGTTTGTTGCATCTGGGGGGGGGATTTCTTGGAGGCTCGTGGTTGCATGTTAGTCCAACCAGGTTGCGTGTTTGGGCCCTTTGTGGGCCTGTTTTGGGGTCTTGGGATCATGTCAGAGGGGCTGGCTTCAACATCGTTCCCCTTCACTATCTTCCTCATTCCTCAGACGCCCCCTTCCAATTGATGATCCTCCCCTCCCTTCTCCCTCTATTCTTCCCCTCCGACCCAAGCCAAGCCAAGCTTCCCCCCTCCCTCCGTCCCTCCCTCCGTCCCTCTCCCTCCTTTTCCCCTTCCTCCGCCCTTTCCTGCGTGTCTCCCTCCGTCCCTCTCTCCGTCCCCCCTCCGTCTCGCTTCTGCGCGTCCCCGCTCCTCTCCTCCCCGCTTCGCGCTCTTCTCCCCTTCTCCCCTGTTTGTGCTCTTCTCATCCGTCCCCTCCCCGCTCGCGCTCCTCTCCTCCCCTCCCCGCTCTCCGTCCCCCTTCTGTCTCGCTTCTACACGTCTCCGCTCCTCTCCTCCCCCTCATCCTCCCTCCACCCCCGATTCCCCTTCTGATCCTCCTCATCCACGACGCCGATGGCACAGCGGCAGCCGTGACACCTGGCAGCGGCATGCTTGCACCGCCGGTGGTTCTGTACCAGCGTCCTGTCTTCTCTGCTCTTATATGTCCCCGTCCGTCTCTGCTCGCCCTTTACCACCCCATCCCACCCCACCCCACCCCCGCTCGCCAGGCCCCAGGCACATCGTCGTTTGCTGCCGGTGCGCTGCGCAGAACGGATGGTGGCGGGTGGGGGACATCATGGTTTTGCAGGAGGAGGGGAGTCTGAGGAGGATGGGGAGGAAGGAGAAGGGATGCTTGATGAAGGGATGAAAGGGGGAGGGAGGAGGGAGAACGAGTTGGAGGAGGAGGAGCAGGAGGAGGATCTGGAGCTGCTGGATGACGCCCGCCGAGATTTGGGCCTGGTGGGCTGCATGCGCTCCGGGCGCGGACATGGGGGGCACGCCGCTGCTGGCAGCCGCCCCCGCCGATGTGTCGCCCGAGCCCACAGGAGTTGCTGGAGGAGGCGGAGCCTCCGCTGTGATGAGCTCTTGGACCTCCTCGTCCGTCTTGGTCAGGTGCTGGAGGTCGCTCTGCGCAAGCGCCACGTCGGCGTTCGCCTGCTACTCCTGCGTGCGCAAGTCGTCTAGGACATCGCGGGCCTCCTCGAGCCTGTGCTCGGCCCTGGCACGGGCGTGCTCCTGCTTGGTGAGCTGCGCCTTCAGCCCTCGCGCACTGAACAACAGTCATCGTCGTCGAGAACTCCAGCTCTGCATCTTCGCTCCTGTCGAGGATGACTGTGTTCAAGGCCTCCAGCCGCGCGGAGGCCTGCTTCTTGCAGGACTCGACCTCGGAGTCGGACGCTTGTGGTCCTGGCGGCGAACGCCACCAGGGATGGCTGCGAGCAGCCCGAGGTAGCCGAGCGGTAGTCGTCGCCAACTCTTGGGTTTTGTCCCTCTCCTTTTCGTTTCCCTTGCCAGTGCCCCCGGTACCTTTGCCACCACCATCTTCGCGACTGGCAAGAGGCTGGGATTCTCGGGCTGCAGCACCCCGCGCCTTGCTCCCACGTCCACGCCCATGACCACTGTCGGGAGCACTGCCGTATCGCCTCGGCGGACGGGCCGGCGCGCGACGCTTGGGGGGAGACTCTTGGCGTGGGAGCACCACGTTGCTGGCAGTCGACGATGTCGTGCCGGTTCTTGCAGGAGCAATCCGCACAAGACCAGGCGGGCCTAGCTGGAGCACACGACACACCGGTGGCCTCGGACATGCTGGCACGAGGCACTCGCTGGCGATTGTGGTGCCATCCATCGTAGCAGTCGTCGAGCCGCCTCCAGACGGAGGCGGACTCGGGCACGTGACCGCTCCGCTCGTGCCTTTCGATGCCACGCTGGTTCAGATGCCCGCCTAGCGTGGCGGGAAGCACGGCCACGTTTCAGCGCTCTGGCAAGGCTACCGCGGCGCGTTCGCAGCTGTCCCGGAGTGAGGGGCCGCTTCCTGATAGCACCCAAGCCCTTCGAGCCGGGACGGCGGCTGGAGGAGGAGGAGGAGGAGGAGGAGGAGGAGGGGAAACAAAAATTCGGAGGCGGAGGAAAGGGAATGAAGAGGAATCCATGGGTCCGTACTCGTCCGCTGATCCATCTTTCGCTCCTTTTTGTTCGTTCACTCCGTTTTTGCTTCTCATTCCTCCCTGTTTCTGGTCTTCCCTATCTTCCTCCGTCTTTCCGCTCTTCTTCTCTCCCCCCTTCCCTCTCCACCTCCCGAGACCACAACGACGGACAGCGACGACGCCGGCGACGCCGTCGACCCCATTCCCGCGTCCATGACCTCTGGGGTTGCGTGTTGCCATGGGAGTGGATGGGGATATAGATGATGAGGATGAGGATTCTGTCTTGGGAGCTGAGTATCGCTTAAGCGCGTGCGTACACATGTATATAGATATGTAGATGTATCAAAAACAACACTAGTGTCATATATAAATAGTTATAGAGAGAGGAGGAGAGAGGGAGAGAGAGAGAGAGAGAGACAACACAAACAAACGAGAGAGAGAGATAATGATATTTATATATACATATATAGAGAAAACACGACACACGAGGACATGTACACCAATACATATATACATGTAAACATATATATATATATATACAACAAAAAGAGAGAGAGAGGGGGGGGGAGAGAGAGAGAGGAAGGGAAAGAGAGAAAGAGAGCAGGAGACAACACAATAGGAGCACCCAACACAATCATGATGATGTTGGGATGACAAGGGTGAGGAAGAGTTGGATGAGGGGCGATGGGGGATGGGGCATCCGAGGCGGCCCATGTATTGATAGTGTTTGTTCCTTCGCGCCCGCGGGAAATCTGGGCCGGCCACCCGCTGGGCGTTGCTGAAGGTGCCCGTGGCCGAAGGCCCTCCCAGCTTTTTCCGCCCCACCCGCGAGCCCTTGGGCCCTCTGTGCCTCGTGGCGGCGTGCTGTGCTGGGAGCCTGGGCCCAGTCCGAGATTCTGGGGGCTTTATCCCCCTCCTCCTCCTCCTCCTCCTCCTCCTCTTCCTCCTCCTCCCCCTGCTCCTCCTCCTCCTCCTCCTCCTCCTCCTCCCCCCTCCCCTCCCCCTCCCTTCCTCCTCCCTCCTCCTCCCCCTCCTCCCCTCCTCCCCCCCTCCTCCTTCTCCTCCCCTCCTCCTCCCCCTCCTCCCTCCTCCCCTCCTCCTCCTCCCCCTCCTCCTCCTCCTCCTCCTCCTCCTCCTCGTCCTCCTCCTCCTCCTCCTCCTCCTCCTCCTCCTCCTCCTCCTCCTCCCGCTACTCCGACCCCATCTGCTCGGGCCCCGCCTGGGAGGCCCGGCTCGTGCGCGAGGCACGGAGGCCAGGCCAGTGGCAGAGCCCGACGCCGAGGACTCGCCGCGCCCACGGAGTTCTTCCAGTGCTTCTCCTGCCAGGCCACGGTGCTCCCGTGGCGGCTGCTGGTGGCGGTGCGGCCGGGCGGCGGCGGGAGGCCCGCGCCGCCCGTGCGGGCCGCTCGGGGAGGTGCGGCTCCCAGACCCCGTCGAGCCGCGGCAAAAATCGAGTCAAGGGAGGGGATTGCAAGTCAAAGGGGTTTCAAGTCAAGGGATGAAAAGGCCGAGGGGATTTCAAGTCAAGTCAAGGGATTTCCGGTCAGGGGATGTCAAGTCAAGGGATTTCAAGTCAAGGGGTCTCAAGTCGAGTCGAGCCGTCGAGATGGGTGGGATGTCAAGTCAAGGGAGGTGCCGGTGCCGCTGCCTTTCCGTCGTTTGGGGTCTCCTGGCAGACCTCGTCGTCACCCGTGGAGTCGCTTCCGAAGTCTTGGTCAGAGCCCACCCTGTAAGAGGACCAGGGAGTAAAGGTATCGGCACATTCTGGTTCCCACCACAGGGGGGTATGGTGTGAAGTAGTCATGCGAGCCCCCAAAGTCCCGACATTGCTGCCGGTGTTGGGTTTTTGTTGCCCAGATGTCGTCGGATTTAGTTGACATGTGGGCGAAAGTAAGACGAACTTTGGAAGAACGGGTCAAGAGGGGCGGTCCAAATCTGCACGAACACCAGTCGAAATCACGTTGATGATGGGACCGCCGAGGTCCACAGAGGCTCTGATCATTTCAGGGTTCTCGCGGTTCGGTCGGCTTCGGTTGTGTCGCATTCGGTTGTGTCGTTCCTCGTCGGTTCGTCTTTCTGGCTGCATGGGGCCCGTCGATGTCGGTCGGTTTCGGCTTGCTGTCGGTTCGATCGGCTTTCGTTTTTGTTGTCGCCATGCACGGCCCTTGTGTTGATCAATTTCGGCGTCTACGCTTCGCCAGGACCTGGGACCGTCCAACAACGACTCAAGATGCAAGGCCGGGCCTGGGGAAGGGGTCGAGGCTTCGGGGGGTCCTCGATGTGAGCAAATCGTGACGTTGGGGGTGTGGGGTGGACGGCGGCAGGAGGCCCGCGATGCTGCTGGGAAGGCTTCGGTTTGCGCTCAGACAGGCCCCCCAGGTAGTCCCGGCAGGCCTCAACAGACTTCCCGAATATTCCCTGATGGCCACAACAGCCCCTCCAAGTGCAAGTCATGTGGGTCGGTCTCGACACCACGGCGCCGCCTCCGGTGGCGCCCCCAGGGCGCTCCGCGCCCTTGGGGTGGGCCAGCTGGGACTACCTTGGGCGGGGGGGGGGCTGTGTTTGCGCAGATCGAAGCCTTGCAATTGCTCTCGGGCCGATCGGGGAGGTGCCGCTCACAGTTCGGTTTCAGGGGCAAAGACAGGATCGAGCCCAGACACCCACAACGCCTCGAACAATTCGTGAGAGGTCTGTCCTCTTTTGTGGTCTATGGAGCCTGCTGGCATGAAAAAGGAAAACAGTATGATACCAATGGCTGAGAACGAGTTAACGTTTCATGATTGAGTGGGGGTGGCGGTGGTCGACTTCCGCGACAAGTTGGATTACACGATATTCGAATACGAACTCTCACATACCTTGAGTTCCTAATTTTGCACGGCCTGCTGAGGGGATTTGGTGAGCAAGTTGATATCCTCGACAAGATGTTAAGAGGTGCATTACATATCGGTGCTCTTAGAAAATGTGTGGCTGTTCGGACGCGATCGGGTTGGAGTAGGGCTTTGTGATTGGGTGGTTGGGTGGGAGGGTGTGCGTATGAACGCTGTCCGCGGCAAGCCAGGCTGTATACACGGTGCCAAAGAAGATCATATGATCGCGTCCGGACCTCTCCAGAGGTGTGTCTTGCCCAGGGTATCGAGCCGACGAGGAGCTCTCCCCGAGTCCCAGAATTCGAGAAGAACACTTGGAATCCTTGCTCCTCGATGCTCGCGATCCTCCAGGGAGGTTCACGATGCCTCCCCGAGCTCGGGATCGGAGATGGATCGGGCGGGATGTTGCAAAACAAGAAGACCACATCAGCATTAGGACACGCCCTGTATTCCTCGTGACGGAGGTCGTGACGACTTGACTTAATGCGATCCTTGCTCCTCCTTGAGCTCACCCTTCTCCCCAGGCCCCCAACGTTCTGATGTGCTCAAGCCGTGGGTGCCCACAGAAGGCTCAGGGCCAGCTTTTCATCATGTTTTTTTGTTTGAGGGTCCCAGGGCTTGGTGATGGATGGCCCCAGTGTCATGGTGGTTTTAGGTTCGCTGGCTCACCATGCACACCGCGGCCGCCTGTCTCAAAGTGTGCCTGTGTTCCCGAATGGTCTCGGCTCGGGTCCTCGACGAAGGGCGACTGCATACCGCGGCCACCAGGCCTAAAGTGTGCCAGGGCTCCTTGCTTCGGGGGCTGCTTCATGTGCCCCTGGCCCAAGGTGGCCCCCAGCGTTCCGCTCCATTTCGGAGACCCTCAGGTTCCCTGGATCTCGTGACGGGTGCTCTGGAGGCCGTGGTGGCATCTTTGGAATTCATGGGGGCACCTTGGGCCAGAGGGTGTTCCCGCAACACCCGACTGTTGGGATCTCGCCTCGCGTTCTCTGGTGGGGATGTCTCAACGGAAAGTAAGTCATGCAACACGTTGGAGGGCTTGGATTCCCGATTCTCGACGTGTTCCCTTCCCCCCCTCCTGCGGGTCCCTCATGTCACGTTCATGCGCGTGTTTCTTGCCTTTTTCGTGCACTGATTCCTGAAGTCCTCCGTCTACGGCTTCTCTTTGTACACGATACGAGGTCACGGCCTCATGCGCCCTGCCCAAGAAGACACGGGCACACTTGCGTGCTTGACTTCGGTGCTTCCGCTCCGCTCCGCTCCGCTCGTGTCGTGCTGCATCTTCGGTGACACCTTCCTGTCCTTGTAGATTGCGGTCTCCGACGTGGGCTTGACGCGGATGCGACGCGGATTCGACACCGGGTCGATCAAGATTCGACGCGATCGACATGTTTTCGACGCGGATTCAGGCACGGACGGACAGTGGGCGCGATGGGACAGACGAGTCGGGCCTGCTGCGTGCGGCTGGTTTCGGCCCTGCCGCTGGGCCCATTGCTCGATACGCGGGCGCCTCCTGGCGCCAGGAGGCGCCAGGAAATCCAGCTACGTGAGCTGATTCTCTGCCCTGCCCTCTGCTGCCGTGCCCTTGCGTTAAGTCGGACGGGTCCCCCTACAGAGGGATTTTCGACGAAAAATAAGAGATACTCCCCTTACTATTGTTTGGCTACTTTTGAATATCCCTCCTGTAGAGGGACGGGCCCGACTTAACCCTTGTGCCCCCCCCAGAACGAGGCGGCCCGAAGATGCGGGGGAGGAGGAGGAGGAGGAAGAGGAGGAGGAGAGGAGGCGAGCCGCCCTGCGGGCGCCGAGCCAGGGGCGCGCGCGCGGCCCCCGCTCAGGGCGCCCAGCGGCGCTTCGCGGAGAGCATGCCGCTGTCTGCGGCGCGGGGAGCGCGGGCGGCTGCCGTGGGAGGAGGCGCGGGCGTCCCTCTGGGGGAGGAATATTCAAAAATAGCCAAACAAAAGTATGGAAACTATTTTTCGATCATTTTTTGTCAGTTTTGGAGTATCTTTCATTTTTCGTCGAAAATCCCCCTGTACGGGGACCCGTCCGACTTAACACAGGGCAGGTGGTGGTGGTGCTGAGGGTGGTGGTTGGTGGTGCTGATCGTGGTGGTTCGCGGTGCTGAGGGTGGCGGTTGGTGGCGCCGATCGTGGTAAAGACGGTGCTGATGGTGGAGGGGATAGTTATTGAATCGCTTCGCTCATTCCGCCGGCTCATACGGTCTCATGTCTGCCGTTTGCCCGAGGGCCTGGTGTCAATGCGGCGCTTTGGGGGTTCCTGGGGCCGCTTGGGGGACTCCTGGGGCGCTCGGGGGGGCATTTGGGGGGCCTCCTGGGGCCGCTTGGGGGACTCTTGGGGGCCTCCTGAGGGCCTCGTGGGGGCCTCTTGGGGCCTCTTAGGGGCCTCTTAGGGGCCTCTTGGGGCCTCGTAGGGGCTTCTTAGGGCCGAGGGCGCGAAATTTTGTTTCGTGTTCCCTCTCTGGGGCCCCTTTGGGGGTGTTCTTGGGGCCCTCTTGGACCGTCTTGGAGGCTTCTTGACTTTAAACGGAGAAGGTTAAAGGCGAGGTATAAATCGAGCATGTACCGCTGCCGTGCCTGGCTCAAGCCGGGCCCGGCCAAATATATGACTGTGCCTCACCGAGGCGCACGACTGGTATCTGAGATCGGAAAATACCTTTTCCATTGAAGATGCCTCTTCTATCCTTTACTCCAGATCCCATGCTTCGTCTCGCTCTCTTGCTCATGCGATATGAGCCAAAGCCTGGGATATGGGAACGCCTAAGGCGTAATATATACCTAAGCTTACCAGCATGTTTTCGACTTGGTAGCGGAGCTGGCTACACTCTCGTGTGGCTGGCTCTCGCTCTGATTCCTGTAATCCACGGCACAACTTGGTGGACTACTACTACGGTGGAATACCATGTTGCGCCGGCTCTGCGAGGAGCGGAGCCAGTCCGCGATCGAGCTAGCGGGGCAACCCGCGAACTCGAGACGCTCTCTCCTACTTCACTGCGCTACTTCACTCTCGACTTCCACCAGATGCCAATCGGCAACTCGATCGAGAACGTGGTCACCCTGCGGGGCTACCCGCAGCGGGGCCACCTGCATCCCGTGCCAGTCAGGCGCCTCACGGCTACTACGCCAGAGCCTGACAAACCACAGCCTAAACCAATCACCGAAGCCGAAATGCACATGCACTGGATTAAGATAACTATCTTCGGCATTCTGTGGGTAATAATGGGATGTGCTGTGGGATACATGCGGCAGGGGATGGACGACACGCGTACTACTGGCCCTTCATGGGACCCTGCCGGTACTACGCCTTTTCGCGAATACGTTCGCGAAGTACATGCATGGTTAAACGTAACGAGCGGCAATATGACACCACCACAACAAGCTGCAGCACTACAGCGAGGCCTTCAAGGTCTTGCTCGTCGTATCGCCATGCAGGTCCCCTCCCAGATCATCAACTATGGTGTAACTGTCAATGGACAGCCAACGGATGCAGTCACATATATACTGTACTTACTGAGCACCAAATTTGAAAATCTGGAAGATGAGCGCCAGCTCAACTCTGGCACTGCCCTTATCGACTTTCGCGTCGAAAGGGGCGAGCGAATCGACTCAGTGTTAGCTCGATTCGAGATGGCCCGTGACGAGGCTAACTCTGTTGGCTTTGTCATCCCCAACTTTCAGATCCTAACGCTGATTCTTTTCAGAGCGTTAGGCGTTGGCGCGTCACGAGCCCAACACCTGCTGGAGCCCTTTAATCATCAGATGCCCAGAACACAAGCAGACTATGACAGGCTGCTGACCAGGATGAGGAACTACGGACATGTTGCCGAGCGCTCTCCTGGCAACATTGCGGGTATCTTCACAGGGCACCACTCACATGCAGGTGTCTACGCCACGACTGCGGGGTCACCCGCTGGTCCTGGCGAGCCAAGTCCCTGGGCTGACCCAGCCGATATGCCCAACGAGGCCACTGCCTTCTTAGGGCAGACCGGCCAGGCATCGGCAGAGGCAGCTGAGGCGAACGCCTGGTCGAACTACTCGCCAGGCGCCGCCTACACTGCAAGCCCGCCCTCGGGCACAACCCTCTGGGGCCAAGCGGAGTCATCCGCTCAAGGGTCTCAGCCACCCTCACCGTTTGAATCTGGCACTGACACAGATACCTCATCTGACGATGAGCACAATGGCATAGTCTCTGCTGGTAATGACTATCCAGCGGATGACACTCACCTTTCTGAACAACAAAGAGCGGAAGCCGCTTTTATGGCTTATCGCAAATCAAAACGCCGTTGGAGGCGCTTTATGAAGAAACCAGTCAGAAAAGTGAGACGTGCAGTACGCCGACATTTCAAACGATATGGAAAGGGTCGTGGCAAAGGGGGTCGCAGACGCCGTATGCATGGTAGGGGTATTACTGCTTTCCTCACGTCCTTAACTGATATAGTCTTTGAGGAAGTTCTTATCGGAGGCAAAGGTCGGGGTCACAGGCGGACCTCCGGTAAGGGAAAAGGGCGGAGGGGCAACCCTAGGGACGCTTCTGGCAATACTACGAAGTGTCATACATGCGGCAGCACAGAGCATTTGCGCGATCAATGCCCGAAAGGGATAGGAAAGGGATCCGTACATTTGGCTCAAAAGTCTTTGATGGATGACATAGACTACATTGACTGCGAGTTTTACGTCAATCCAGAAGCGGCTCCCGCCGCGGGCTCCTCCACGTACTACGTGATGGCCCGCTACGCTGAAGTGACCGTAGCCCTGGAAGACTACGCGGTGACCCTCTTCGACGAGTTCCACGGCTGGGACGAAGTCGACGAGGTCGCGTTCAATGCTTGGTTCGGTCTTCCAGCGGGGCCACCCGCCGACGACGAGATCTCCGAAGCTGAGACCGTCCCGGCGACCGAGGAGGAGCTCGCCGCCGCGCTGGCACCGCAGGTGATTGGCATGCCGTTGCTGCCAGATCTTCCGCGAGCTGGCTCGGAAGCGGGAGACGCTGATGACGAAATGCGGGGCCATCCCGCTTATTCTGACTCTGAAGAGGCCGAAGAGGACCATAAGGACATGCTCCAAGAGCAGGTCGCAGAAGCAATCCAGCTCCTGAGTGCGCCAGCACATCAGCAGATAACCATGAACGACCTGCTGTCGCGCCCAGGGGCCGCACGGCTGCGTCCATACCTGGATTCGGACATGTCGGCACCTCAGATGCTGACAGCACTCCAGGCTCTAGCGGGGTCACCCGCCGAAGTGACGCCAGCCGCAGCAGCGGGGCCACCCGCTTGGTCTATGGATGTATTCATGCAGGGCTGCGACCAGATGGACCTCAACGACCTCACGATGGAGCAGCTAAACGACATCGGGTACTTCCGAAGCCCGTATCAGCACGTATTCATGGTCCAGGACAGCTCAGAGGACTCGGAGGACATGCGCTATGCCAAGAGGGACAGACGACCGTCGCCTCCCCGAGACTCAGAGCATGACGATCAAAGGCCCATGGAACGTGGTAGTGCGTCAGCGGGGCCAGCCCGCAGGAGGAGCCGTTCAGCTCCCCGACGCCCTACACATGATGCATCGGGCTACCCGTACAGTACGGAGCACTCCGTTGGTGTATCCGCTCAGTACGTGCCGGAGTGGTACATCAATTGGTACCCCGGCTACTCGATGGACGTGATCCGCCACTGGTATTCTAAGGAGTACTGCACCAAAAGGGACGAAACTGGCATGATAATACGCACCAAGGGTGGCAAGACCAAAACGCCAGAGGCTTGGGACAAAAGGGCTAAGAAACAGGAGATCATCAACGATCGCAAGACATACAGGAAACAAGTATGTCAGTGCGAGCCCTTCAAAGGTCACATGCGCAGTTGTCCAATGGACCGCCCCTCCAGGAGTCCTCATCACGGTGAGACCCCGTGGAATTGGTCTCATGGAGATGACGCTGGCAACGTCCATGATCCTAACAAGGAGGTCCCTGGAGGAGGAAAGCGCATCACAGAAGCCGATCGCGTCCCTATGACCGAGGAGGTTGCCAACACTGTCAGGGAAAATTGGGTACAGCTTCCCAATGACCATCGCCTCAAGGAATGGAACCGCCGATTCCATAACGAGGCGGGGTCACCCGCAGGATCCAGCAAAGAAGCGGGGTCACCCGCAGACGCGGCGCCAGCCGCTGGGTCCGCGGACGAAGATTGGATAGCTGTTGCATCTGCTGCCGGGTCCGCCGCCGGTACTGACCAAACCGAACTGAATGAAGAATGGGCGGCGGAAGACGGCTCAGAGAATCCATTCCCTGATGGATGCGCCTGCTGGCACTGCAGCTCCTCGGCGCAGAAGTGGTTTTGCACGAGGGTAATTCACCGCCACGAAAATGGCAAGTATAAGCTGGCCATAAAAGGTACTGCCGACATCGACCAGATGAGGCAGATCATCCATGATCATGGCCAGCCAGAAGGCCCTCCTAAAGACCCTCCTGGTCCACAACCAGGCAAGGGCAGCAGACCACCTCCAAGACCTGAAGCCGACTCCTCGTCTTCACCGACTCCTGCGAAGAGGCACCCGTCCAAGAGCCCCGAAGGCACACAGGGGCGGGCGAAGGCCAGAGGGATCGCCAAGACGGACGACCCTGAGCAGGGAGAGCCTATCGGCCCGTCCGTGACGGAGAGGAGGAAGGCTTTTGCTGGACCATCAACCCCGATGCCACCGGCTGCCCAAGGCGATGTCAAGGACGAAGTTCGCGACCAGCCTAAGGCAGCCTTCCGAGGTGACTGGACTCCAACTCTGCATCAGCCGCGCCTTGCACCACGACCAGGTTCGGCACGAATGAAAGCGCAGCCGAAGCCCGAAGCTGGGATGAGGTCGGTGCGGGCAGAAGCAGCCGCCAAAGCTAAGGAGGACAAGGGCTCTGCGGGG